TAGTCCATTGCGATGTTTAAGAAATACAGTTGGTGTGCGGATAACATTGGCAAAATGTGATACGTAGGATGTTTGGTCTTGGTACAATTACAAGCATGCCGTTCCAAACAAAGCCAGAGGAATAATTGCAGGTCTCTGTAAACTACAATTTCACATCTTTCGCCATATATTTTATCCATGGATGAGACTAAATGTCTCTACGACTGTCCGGGCCTTTTCGAGACAGATGTCTTTATAAGGTATCTCGTGTGATGCTGTGGTATCGTGGCAGGGACTCGAACCCAAAACCGACGGGTCCATAGTCTTGCGCCCCAACCACCACCCGACCACGGCCACCCATCTTTCGTCGACACCCAGCTTTACAAAGACAAGAGGATGTAACAGCTGGTAGTAAGTTGTCGAGCATGTTTTCGGGACAGGCGTCAGTGTGTTCGGTTTCGTCTCACGCTGCGACCGTTACCTGCGCGTGACTAATCAAGCCCGGGGCGTGTCTGGGGAGGGTGTAAATCACGGCTGTCGCCGCCGGCCAGGCACGCTCTCGTTCTGAGGTCTCATTCGGAGCGGGCCCAAACAGCCTGAATAAAACGGGCCGTCGGATGGAGACGGCTGGTCCTCAGCGGGTCGAGAGCGGCGGGTCGATACCTGCAGCCCTAACGAAGGCTCGGGCGTACAACCTGCATCCCTGGGTGGAATTAGAAGGCCGACATCGCACAAGGCATAGCCGTTTCCGAAAGAAATGCTTTGCGTGGCATGCCATCGTGACTGGCCGAAATTGCGCTCTGCAACTTAATTATGACAGCCTGAAATGGTAAGTGGGAAGTGCGATTTTCCAGCTCAGAATTGTTTTTCTTGGCCCATGGCGGCGAGGCGTCGCCCTTCCAGTCACGTGTATGTGTGGTGTGTGGGTGCGTGCATGTGTGCGTGCGTGCGTGCGTGCGTGCGTGCGTGTGCGTGTGTCGCACCTGGTCGCGCCGGCCGCTCGTTCCAGCAAGGCAGTCGCCTCGGCGACCGCACGTCCACTGCGGTCAACCGAACGGCGCGCGTTCCGAGGGATTTCTACAACGTTTGGAAACCACCGTACCCGAGGAGCGGCGGTCGCCGGCGGGTTTCTAAACATCACGTGACGCACGCAACACGAGCCTCGGTGTCCACCCACGGGCGGCTGGGCCGAGGGCGTGCCGCCGCCGGCCCTGGGCCAACCCGGGCGGCCGCACCTTACCTAACCACGATGCCACGTTTGGCGCCGCGGGCGCGCATCGGGGAGGCGCCGGGTCAGGTCAGGAGGGCGCGATTGGAGGCGCTCGGGGCGCGTTCAGCGCGGCCGCGCGTGCGCTCCTCACGCGGCCGTAATCAGGCCAGCGCTCCGACTCGGAGGAGACCGCTGACAGCCGCAGGAGCCCCCGGTCGGGTGCGTTCGCAATGTATCGGAAACGTGGCTCTCATGCGCGGGATGACGATCCGTTTTGACTTCTGTGCTCGCTCTACGGAGGGCACGGTCTCTCGTGCGTTCCTCACCGGGGCGTTAAAGGCGCTCCTGTTTCGCTCTGCTTTCATTCGGTCTTGTTCGGCTCGCTCTGATGGATGACAGTCTGATCTCGATGGGCCCACCGCTCCGACATGTTGTCGCATGGGACGCGTGGACTAGTCGCTTCGGAGCTATTAATCCAGGACTCGCCCAGAAGACAGCTGTAGCTGCGTAGGACGGCAGCCGCGTTCACGGTCGTCATGGATGAATACTCACGTGCTCTGGAAATGAAAGGATCCGTGTTTTATTGTGGTAGCGGTTGTTTTTATCTAGGCCTTATTTGCGTTTTCCTGGCCTTTAAGGTACATTTAGGGTCTTCACCAGTGGCGAGCGCTGGATACGCTTCGAACTGTTTGGAGAATACCAGCATTGGCCAACGTCTCAAGAATTCGCCCCGTTGGTTTCGTACTCGTGTGTTTGTATGCATACGTTCGCCATGGAGAATGACTGTGTGATTTTGTGAATGCTTAGGAATTGGTACACTAAAGCGTACCTTAAAAGAGAATATCCCTCCTTTTTATACTTTACACTAATTGGTACATCAGACTCGTGCAAGTTGATCCGTAATGCCAGTTTTTTTGGAAGTCTTTCTGAATAGCTCAACATTTCTATTTGAAGTAGCTGACCCTGCAGGAGAAATAACATTTGACCACCCGCCCGCCGCTATTCAAGTAATACATTTAATTTGCCTTTCTTGTTCTAACATGCGTGTTCTGTCATGTTTGCAACACGCGTGTCAAAGTGTTTGCGTATTAAATGTTGCGAAAGCTCGGTACATTCTGTTTAGACAAAAAATGTATGCGAACCTGAAGCTCTTATCCCGCGATTTCAGCGAAACTTTTATGCTACGGCTTTGAATTCTCCCGTGTGGCGTTTACCACTGTGACTTTGTTCGAGGTGCCCTATGGCCTTGAGAACGAGAGTATGAGTCATGTGACGCACTGATTCAAACTTCAGCCAGTGCTTGTCTGGGAACAGGCTCTTGCCGCCCGCTGGATCAATCACAGACGTTCTGTTATAACCACCTGTAGAGGTGCGCACGGCGGTGTCATGACGGCGGTGGTCGCGACTGCAGAGAAGAAACGTAGTGCTGTTGCAAAGCGTTGTCAGTGCAATTTGGACTTTAAAATAATTGAAAGTGACATCCTTATCATGTTTGACGGCGCTGCAACGACACTATTCGGTGGTATTATCTCTAAGATGTAACTAGTTCTAAAGTTTTACTAGAGCATGCTCTTGAAATATGCTCAAAGGTGGGACTCTTCCTTCCATATTTGTATGGGGTTTTGAACCAGCACAGCCATCTTGAAGATCATTCAGTCGGTTCGCAGTCCTGCCCTTCTTTAGACCGAAACCTCTTGAGTTCTGAGCTACACGCCCACGAAGATGTGCAGACTTTTTCGGGCAGACAATTTTAAGGTCACCCAGGCATCCATGACGCTATAATAATGTTATTCACATCCTGCCATTCCATAAGCCACGCGGCGATCTAGGCCATGGAAAATATTATTATGGGTTCGTTCACATCTGGCGTTCGTGAGCAAGATTTCGTGATATAACGACCGTCAGTTGGTTCTCAATGTCATACAAGGTACGTTGTCGTAATCAAAGATGCAGGTACTGAGAAGCATATTTACTTAACACTGACGTCGTACTGCTTAGGGCAGGCTTTTCCTCTCAAAGGAAACGTTGCACATGTTATCATATTGAAACAAGCATCAGATATGATGAAATGAGCTCACTTATAACTGCTGGTATAATTCTCATTGAAAGAGACTCCTCCAGGCAACACAGTTTCTCTGTTTAGTAAATATGCTCCTCCATGCCTCATTTTGTGGTTTCGTTGTATTACCTTGCACAGCATTGAATGAGAGCCAATTGATGGCCGTTATATCTGGAAATCGTGCTTACAACGGTCAGCTTTGAACAAATCGACAACTATGTTTTTCTTAGCGTTGATCACCACATGACTCATGACATGACAAGATTTCATTGACGTTATTATGGCGTCATGGATGCCTGGATGGCCTTGAAATAGTCTCCCCGAAATTGTCTCCCATTTGCGCGGGCGTATAGCTCAGAGACCAGATAGGTTTAGGTAGTAGGGAGAAGGGAGGGGGGGGGGGGCAGGGCTGTAAATGGCACCGAATAATTTTCAGGATGGCTTTTTCAGCTGAAAACCCCATACAAATGTGGAATACAGCATTAAAAAGTATGTCAAAAGTTACAAGTGAGCTCATTTCATCATGTCTGATGCTAGCTTCAGTATCCTCAAATGTGAAACATTCCCTTTGAATACGACACACGTTATCGTTCTCGATGTGTGCCGCGAAATTTGGAAATGGAGCGCTCCGTTATGTGGCGCTATCAAATGGGTACTCCACATCTGGTGCTAACATGAGACACATAGCGAGCGGATGAAAAACTCGTACAAAAACGTCTTTGTTCTGTCTGGCCACCGATTCCTAGCGAATCCACTGTGTTCTTCGACGACGAAAACCCGCTCCTTGTGTCATTTCAGTCGATTATTCAAAGCACGGTCCATAACGGACGGGTTTCCAGAATCGGAAAGTAATTGTGATGTCCCGTGCGGTGCTGTTTTCAATTCAGACAAAACAGGTGTAACTAAACGCTTCGGCACATTAAAGCAAAGTACGGCAAGTCGTGATCAAGAGCTTCCAATTAACCTTGTCTGTGATTTATCCAGATTGTGTCCTTGGGAACAAGACTTCCGTGCTTATGGCCGTGTCACGCTGTGCCCTATACCTTGCACCAGGACGGGAAGATTCCCACCGCGACTCGCTTCCTGACCCAGACCGTGCAACCTTACGGACCATCGCCGGCGGAGGTCGGCTGCACAGTCAGGTGTAGACGCAGTATTTCCTGGTCACGCGGGTCACGTACCGAGCTTTGGTACAGAGCGGTGAAGGCTGCAGCGGCGCTGGTGGCTGCAGTCAAGCTTGCCAATCAATTTCGGATACTGAGAACGCTGATCATCGCTGCTGAGATGAAGCACATATTTTCCCCGGCAACAGCCAAGTCAGGCGATCATGACGCTACGCTGCCTTGTGTGTTCACTGCTGTCAGAAATAATAACTATGCAGCGTGTGCTATACCTGTACAATACCGCAAGGGTGCCCGGGTGGTCGGCCGGCTGGCCGGCCGGTCGGGTCGTGCGGTCACCGCTCCAAACGGGCCACCCACCGATGTCGCCCGGAAGAGCGCCGGGGTGACACCGGACCGGCCGGCGGGCGGCGCCAGCCCACGGCTTTCTCCGCGGCCGCTCCGCCGGCCCGCGCCCGGTGATTGTGATGGGTGAGGAAGAATTGCCGTTGGGATGAGAGAGCCGCGCCACCAAAGGTCGCCCCGACGGCCGCCCGTGTCGCCGCCAGTCGAGCGAGTGACCCGAGTGGCCCGAGCGACCCCGGTGACCCTGACCCCAGTCAGTGACCCGCACAACCCGTTCTGCCTCCAGGCACCGACCACATCGATGTCAACAACTACATGGCCGTGCTGGACAACGGTCTGCTGCTGTGCCGCCTGGCCAAGATCATCGCCGACCAGGCGGCTCGCACGCACACGCTGGCGGTGAGCACAGTCCGGGCGCCGCTGACGGAGACATAGACAGGCTCATTTGTCGATGCCAGTAACGCGGTCATTAGCGTGATTTCTTACGTTGTTATCTCGCTTTCCACGGGTGTACGGAAGGCCAGGTGAATGTGTGGTCGCCACAGTCGTGCGTGGCCGATGGTACGCAGTTCCACGGGGGATGGCAACCACAGTCATTTGTGGCCTACGAATACCTTAAACTTGGACGTCAGTGCGGCGTTTATTTCCGCCCGGGTACCTGAAGTCACCAATATCATCAATATGATCGCCGAAGCATTCTACCAAATCTTCCAGGCCGTTTCTAGTGTTAGACAATTGTCCATTGTGGCAACGTAGCGACGAAGTGACCGAAATTCTCCTACTTTGCACATGGTCAAAAGGCGTCTAACCGGCTGACACGAACAGAAACATTCAGCATATGCGTATATAACGTCATCACCCCACTTCCCATTCAGTCCATCGCTCCGCTGGAGGCACCGTGTCGACTTGCCCACGAGCGCCAGATTCGGCGCCATTTAACGGTCTTCATTAGCTTGCTCATCGCGGGTCAGCCCCACCGCGAGCCCAACTATAGAATGGGTTCTCCCGTCAGCAGTGACGGGGGCCGGCTGATGGGGGTGGCCCGGCGCTGACCCGCTGAGACTCGGGACTCGGCGGGTGGTGTCCCCCTCCCCCCCCCCCCCCCATCCACCTCCCAGGGCCGGCGCCACGCCGGCGGCGTCGCTTATCATGCTGCAGCACCGGCGACGGAGGTTTTCAGCAGCAGATTGTAAAGGCATTCAGGAACTTCCTTTCCGGGCTGATTAGTGCGACCTTGTGCCAAAGAGCTTTTGCGACTTTCGAAAGAAGAAAAAGTATCGCCCTCCCCATCCCGTCTGGTGTTCCTACAGTAGTCTTGAAAGACAAACTTATCGTTGAATCACACGGTGAAAGCTGTCTTGTGTAACCGGGTGAAGTAGGCCAAGTGACCGCTGGTACCAGATGCAAGCAATGAATTTGTTTTAGACTGGAGGTTACCCCCAACCGGATGGACGACTGGAGTTTGCTTATTCATGATCGAAAGTTGGGACGCGGTTGGCCCTGGGAGACGGCCTCATCTGGCAGCTCTCCCAACGATGGTCACACTTCACGCCCGCACGGGCACTCAATGTTCCCCGGCGGACCGTGGGATACTGGGCTCAACTGAGTCACCAGTAACTGCAACTTTCGGCGAATATTTCAGGGAGCCGTCTGATACCTGCATTGTTCCGACGAGAGGTTAGGCACGCGCTCGGGTGAGGCCCATTTAACCCCCAAAGGTTTTTTCCAGAATAATTTACGAACGACGTGGCGTAGCCGCATCAAAATTTGCATAGCTGTAGGCAGTTGAATAGCGGGTCGTTTGCTATGCCAAAGTATAGCTGTCACTGGGTAGGATGCTGACCTGTTACAAGTCAAAGTCAGTCCGTGGCTGTCAGTGAAGGGAATTTCTAGGAATTCTTTAAGTTGATACGACAACAAAGTGCTTGACAAAACCACACATCTCTGAGACAGTTTCGTAGTCAATAAAACATTTGAATTCAGGATTACAACAAAGTCCAATGACCCAGGGTCAGGTATGAAGGTCAGGCCGAGGCCTAAACCAAGCTGTTTTCTACTCGAGACACTGCTGTACAGGGTAGTTTTTGGTGCTCTTTTTGAATTTATTTATTACAGAGATTGCAACAGACACCTTACATGGGCTTTTTAAATGCCAGAGTAGGCCACTGACCTAAAACGACCCAGGTCAACATTTTTTAAGAACATGCCGCCTAGCGCACTCAATGACGTTATTTCAAGTGCAAAAATCAAAACAAACCCCTTGAATTTTGGGTCACCATGACCTTATAACGGTCAAACAATGTCATTGACCTTAATTGAACATCAGTGACCTTTCGCTTAGAGGAGGTATCTAGATTCAATGTGGTTGTGTGAGAAAGTTAATCAGCTTGATCTCACCGATGTAAACGGGGCCCCTCTCCTAATCGATGTAGCGAGACCGCTCTCTTCTCACCAACGTGCGCGAAACCCCTCTCCCTCACCGACGTGAGCGGCACCCCTCTCCTCTCACCAACGTGAGCGAGACCCCTCTCCTCTCACCAACGTGAGCGGTACCCCTCTCCTCTCAACAACGTGAGCGGGACCCCTCTCCTCTCACCAACGTGAGCGGGACTCCTCTCCTCTCACCAACGTGAGCGGGACCCCTCTCCTCTCACCGCAGATGCCGGCGCCAACGTTCAAGTTCCGCTGCTGGGACCGGGCGCGCTCGCGCTCATTCTTCGCGCGCGACAACGTCTACAATTTCCTGCAGTTCTGCCGGCTGGTCGGCTGTCAGGAGAACTTCCTGTTCGAGACGGACGGACTCGGTAGGTGGCCCGCTGCAGACGGGTGGCGGGCTGGGACGGCGCTCCCGGCACCGATGCGGCGGCCGGCTGCAGACGGGTGACGGCCTGGGGCGGCACTCCCGGACGCCGATGTGGTTCACGGGTCACCCTGTTCCCGCTTGGTAAACACGGCGCTTTTGAGTCATATGTCCAGCCGGCCAGGCGCCGTAAACAGACGATGGCCAGGCACGGTTTTTGGCTTTGACCGGGCAAAACAGGGGGCCTGGACAGCTGACAGTACTTTCATGTCAAAGTTCGTGATATGCGGGGATATCGAGTGGTTTATTAGTGTCGATACATTCGTACCTAGATAAGGACATTTCATGCGCGCTCAACGCGGCGCATTCAAACCGCATCACGTGTGTTTTCAAGCTGCATCTTCAAACCACATGGCTCGGGCCCGGGGTCAGCGTTGTATATTTACACTCGTAATGAGAGAAAACGCGCCAGAGCCTTGCTCATGACGAATGACGTGCCATAAATGTGAGGGATGCCCCGTCTTATCCGTAGACAGAGATTGTGGATGCGGGTGCTCAGCGACGTGTCTTCTGCGTGGGATGATCTCGCGCGTCAGGGATGTGCGCCGCACTGCAGGGGTGTCGGCGAAGCGACCAACAGCGTAACGCGCCGGGGATCCGCTGTTTGTTGATAAGAGATCGGTCGCGTCGTCGCGGCAACCCTCGCCCGCGATAAGCCGAAAAGCTTCGATTGACAAGTGGCGTGCTGTGGCTCTGATAGCTTCTGAGAGCCTGTTGTGTAGGAACTGAGTGGGGTTCCGGTATTCGTGCTGTGCCTGGTAACCGCCGTGTGCCACCATGTTCAGTGACGACTGTGCGCGAGTGCGACCAGCACCCTCCAGTGACGGAGATGTTCATAACCGCCACGCCTGGGAACGGTGTCCAGGACAGCCGCCCGGCGTGCTGCTGTGCCTGTGTCCAGTGACTGCCCTGTGCTGCTGTGTCTATGTCCGGTGGCCACGGCCCGCAGTGACCACCGTCCACCGCACGCTGAGGCCGCTGAATGCAACCGCGTCCTGTGACTGCCACATCCAGTGAATGTTACGTGCCTCCCTACGCGGTGGCCACCGTACCCAATGGCCGCTGTATGCTACCTTGACAAGTAATTGCCGTACCCTATGACTGTCTTGTAACCGCCGTGACCAGTGACCGCCGTACCCAGTCACCGCTGTATGTTGCCGCATCAAATGACCACCGCGCCCAGTGACAGCTACATGCAACTGTACCGCGTGACTGTTGTGTGGCACCTTGTTCAGTGAACGGCCAGTGACCGTCCAGTGACCGCCATTCCCGCCGGCAGTGCTGCACACGCAGCCGCGCGGCGTGCTGCTGTGTCTGCTGGAGCTGGGCCGCCGCAGCAGCCGCTACATCGAGCCGCCCGTGCTCGTGCAGCTGGAGCAGGAGATCGATGAGCAGGAGCGGCTGGCGGCCGCGCGCGACGGCAGCGACTCGGGCTACTCGGACACGGCGCAGGAGCGCGAGCGCAGCGCCGAGCGTGACGTGGCCGACGCGCGCTCGCCGCGCCCCTCCTCGCTGATCCCAGTGCGGCGGCGGCGCAGCGGCGTGCGGCGCGCCGGGTACGTCTCGACGCAGCCGCGGCGGCCTCCGGCAGACGGGCGGAGCCGATAGGACGGGGCTTGAGGAGTTTTGATTGTTAGAGGTGTAATTGGAGAGTTTAGGGCTGTAGTGCGTCAAGGTCAGGCTAGAACACTGGCAAAAAGAACGGAACGCAGTCAAAAACACGACAAAAGAACGGAAAAGGCGCCGTTTGTGGGCACGGAACAGGCAGCATAAATTACAGTCCAGCTGTTAAGAAACAGTCAAAATGTAGCAGAAAGTAGTAGCGGCCTACGCATGACGCAAATATCGCATATAATAGCGTCTGCATGTGTGAATTACTCGTTTCGTCGAAATTTAAAAGCATTAAGCAGCACATAAGCTACAATAAAGACCAGGAGCCAACTGCAAGGAATGCTGACGACAGAGTTCGTATCAGACAGGGGGTGGAGGCTAATCATGGCTGCATACCTGTCCTCGCCCTCGGGCCTTCGCCGGGCCCGGTTCGATGCCCCCCCCCCCCTCTCTCCCCTCCCCAGCGCTCTCTGACCCCACCCCCTCACCGGCAGCACGTCGTCGATGCCGGCGTCGGCGCTGACGTCACCTTCCCACCACCGCTCGACGCCGCGGCTGTCCGTGGCTGGCGGGCTGTCGGCGGCCAGCACGCCCTCGCGCATCCCACGGCCCCAGGGCGGCCGCGCCCACCTGGTGCGCGTCAAGATGGCGCTGCAGGCGAGCGGCAGCTGCGGCGGCGGCAGCGGCGGCGGCGGCGGCGGCGGCGAGGTGCTGACGGTGAGCGCTGCAGCGGCGGCGGTCGATGTGCGGAGCGGGGTCGCCGGTAACGAGCCGCCCCCGGACCGGGAGTCGAGCGCCGGTGCTGACAGGACGCGACGTCAGGGTCACAGGGCGATGTGAGGGAAATGGTCGACAGCCGGGACGGATCACAGCTGTGTTATTCAGGCGTTGGACAATCAGGTAAATTGAGGGTGGCGTGAGATTAGAATGCTGCTCAGGAATGTGGCAGGTCGCGTGCCGCTACCAAAACAGGAACGTGGGTGCGTGTTGAGGTAAAATGTTTCGATGGAGAAGTTTGTTCTGAACGTCAAGGTGAGGATTAAGCAAAAACACACCGAAGCTACACATATTTAGCTAGGTTATTGCCACGGCTGCGTAGAGATCTGAGTCGGACAAGTTAACTAGTAGCCGTGGTCACTGCGCGCGACGGCGTCCTACGCACGCGCCGACACTCGTGCCCGGCCCTGCAGACGGAGGAGCGGACGCAGCAGCTGCGGGAGCGGCTGCACCAGCTGGAGGTGGCCACATCGCGGCGACCGCAGGCGACACACCGCCCCTCGACGCCGGCCAGCTCCGTGGCGAGCACCCCCACCTGCCGAACACCCACACATCCCTCCAGCGGCGAGAACAGCCTGCTGGACAAAAAGGTACGAGAAGGCTGATCAATACACCGTTTTAGGATAAATAGTACGTAGAAAGGCACGAAAAGGTCACTAAGTACACCTATCTTAACCCTCGCCCAGATTCGCCGTTTTTCATGGCGCTGACTGATATGAGAGGGGATCAAGGTGACTCTCCCGGCGTTTCCGAACTAATAAAGATAGAGCTTAGCAAAACAAAAAAACACTAGTGGATTGGTCTCAACTAGATTTAACACTCTCTACAAGTTTGCATGTTGTTAGGTCAAAACGGACCCCATTATGCCAGGCTGGAGGTCAAATGTTTCAGAAAATCTCACTTTTTCCACTTAATACAAATACCGGAAAATGTCCCGTGGCGATATAAAACCGAAACAGACGTATTCCTTGTCCAGCTCTGAGTACATTGGTGCATATTTTGACGTGTTTTGAGAACAAATTTATGAAATATGAATTCGTTAATGTAACAATGTCAGCCCGCGGCGCGTGCGTTCCGCGGCACCGTCGGTTGCCACCCGCCGCCCGCGTCGGCCGTAGATCGCCATGGTTTTCCTCAAAAACCGCCACAGGTCCGAAACCAGAAAACTTGGGAACACGTTCTTCGTGTCCAATCACGCGCGATGGGTGCTCCATAGGTTACCGAAAATTTGGGCCCGATAGCGCAACATGCCGGAGAGGAGGTATTCGAAATCGCATGCCCCCCCCCCCCCCCTCCTATCAGGGCGAAGGTTAAGAGAACAGCCCGCTAGTCAAGACGGCGTGTAAAATCAAACCACAAAATAGGGGCGTTTAGCATCTGATGCGTTGGGGTGCCACATTCCTCGAGCGCAGAAAACCCCAGAACCTGTGACGAACACCGCTCCTGTCATGATAGCACAGGGCCCACACCATTGTTTTAACGCTTGCAGAACTGAATCCTACCGAATATATGAAACTGAATCATTAAGGTATCCCCCGGGATTGGCGTCAAGAAGGTGGGCAGCGACGGTCGCTCTCCGCCCCGCCTGACCCTCCAGCGGTGACGCCTTCCCCCCTCTCCGCAGGTGCAGCAGATGGTGGAGGAGTCGGCGGCCGGCTGCAAGTGCCGCAGCAACTGCATGTCGGACGTGCAGCTTCGCCGTGTGGCGGAGGGCCAGTACAACGTGGCGGGGCGCACCGTCTTCATACGGGTGAGTGGGGGTCACCGGAGGCGGCGAGCGCGAGGCGGAGGACGCCGGTGCCGCAACACGGCTCGGGTCGGGCCGCAGATAGGACAGCGTGCGAAGGTTCCGTGCTCATGACTATGCCCACAGATATGTAACACAAATGTCCACGCATTTTGAAACGAATGTCGATTCGCCGATGCCTTGGGTTAAGCGTAGTAACTGCTGCCGGTGTATCCCCAATCTCAGTTCACAAACTAGACCTGTACAAGTGGAAATTCCTCGCGACTCCACTCGTCCCGTTGTGGACGAACGTGTCGCGAGCCGTCACGCCACGCCAGTTGACCGCGTCCGCGCGTGTGCCTCCAGCTGCTGAAGGGACGTCACGTGATGGTGCGCGTGGGCGGCGGTTGGGACACGCTGGAGCACTTCCTGAGCCGGCACGACCCGTGCCAGTCGGCCAGCCTGCCCGGCTCGCTGGCCACCGGCGGCGGCGACACCACCGAGATGTTCCTCCGGCTGCCGGCCACGCCCCGCTCCCGCTGTCAGGTGCCCTCCAACGGCTGAGGCGCCGCCCATCGGCAGCGGGCCGCCCGGCTGGACATCGGTCCGCTGAACAGGCTGAGGGGAGCCGCCCGAGCCGGCCGCCGCCCATCGGCAGCGGGCCGCCCGGTTGGACACTGGTCCACTGGACAGGCTGAGTGGGGCCGCCCGAGCCGGCCGCCAATCTCGGCACCGCGCCAGCGGCCGTCTGGCGGACGCACGACGAGAGAACCGGTCGACCGGCTGGGTCGCTTTGATGAGCCGGAGCCTCCCCGTCCGTCGATGGCGGCGAGGGAGACAGCTCTCGTGCAGTTCCCGTTCTGGACGCGCCGCCATGATAGCGATGCCGACCACGGAGCGATGCGGTGCGATGCGGTGCGGTGCAGTGTGGGGCGACGCGATGCAATGCGGTGCAATGCGAGTGCAATACGCGTGGCGCACGGCCCGAACGCTGTCACCGCATCGCTCGGAGTTTCTCGCTTCCGGCGCCTGCGCGCTCCTCTCGCGCGACGCCCACTGTAGCTTGCGAAGATGCCATAGGTGTGCTGTTGTGTCGCCGCGCCGCGCGGCTCGTTGCGGCCGGCGACTGTCCGTCATCAGGGTAGGTCGAGCCGACCAGCCCCGCCCTTCCCCGCCGCGAGGATCTGTGCGCGCTTGTCTGGGCGCAGTTGCGACGCCAGGCGTCCGGCTCCTGACCGTTAAACTGAGTTGTTTAGCCGCGGAGCGCGGACGGTGGCAAGGGGTGAGTGTTTTCCCGGTAGATTACCGTTGTTTGGAATGCCATCGGAGGCGTGAGGACAGTTTTCTCGATACATTACCGTTGTTGTATTGCCATCGCAGAATTGAGTTGGTGCATGTTCGATAGGAGCGCCGTTCGACGAAAGTCGTCACATTTGTTTATATTCGGAAGATTGACTTGTACAATAAACCATAGATACTCCAGTCGCATTTCCACCTTTCACTGGCCCCACTCTGCGCGGCATCCGTACCACGGAGGTGCACAGTGCGAACGGGTATCTGACCACCAGAAATAGCGGTGTGATGACCCCGGGTCAGCCACGGGCTCCGCACCATCGGGCCCGCACGGCTCCGTGTCGAAGGTCGTCCAGGCCGACGTTCGATCGTTCGGTGTCGGCGACGACGCCCTTCCGCCGTTAGTGCCAGCTGACGCGGCAGGAAGGCCGCCGCCCCCCCCCCCCCCTCGCCGGTCCTGTCAGCGGACCAGAGCCGGAGGATGGAGAGGCGGTGCTGAAGCTGGCCGTCGGTGACAGTGTGACGTCACGCGGGGTGACAAGATGACAGCCGCTGAGTGGCTTCGTTTGCCAGCAGTTAAGTTACTTGAGCTCATGAACGAAACCAGTTTTTTACCGGCATCGCACCACTCCGTAAAGTGGTGTAACAATTCTGAACTGATCTGCTTTGAACACGCCAGGCAAAAGATGCTTGTGGCCATCATGATCTCGGCAGTGGCTATGCCTTCCACAATTCTTTTACGGTACAGTTTGTCTGTCGCAAATAAGGCCTTTCACGGAAATCGATGACATATTATTTCTTGTCCCACACCGTCATGTCTCTGTTATCAAAAACAAAGTGTCAGCAACACACGGTTCAAGATGAACACGATATCACAAAGACAACACCAAAAAATAACCATCACTTCTTCGGAGCCTTCTCCAGGCCTTTGATGTACTTCTTGGGAACCTTGTAGTCTTCTGAAAGGACAGAGAACATTTTCCCTTTAGACACACCAATCCCGTTGTTTTCTCGTAATCTATCGAAATTCAAATGATTACACTTAGCGTTCAGTTGCCACACAAATTGCTTAATATAGGGGTGTGTCCACATAACGGGGCACCCCTACGAAGGCACGCAATCCTTTTCAAATGCAACGTCGCGACGCAATAAACAACACAGAAAGGGCGGTGTTGTTTTTCAAGCCAGCGAATAACATATGGTTGGGCAACACCACTGGCATACGGAGACGGCAGAGGCTCTGCCGGGATCAGGTGCTGATGGAGGACATCCACAGATGGGAGGAAATTCAGTACTGTGGCCCGGCCGCACAACAAAGGGCCAGCACGCAACCGAGTCGTCGGAACGCGCTCAGACGCCCCGATTATTCATTGATCTCTGGCGACTCCTATTGTCTCAAGGTGATCAAGATCAGACGGACTGCGCGGAGCCTTTGTCAGCGGCCCGACCCGACCCAATGCCACTTCTACAACATGCGTTGAGGGAGTACGTTCTGGCTGAGCGCGTTTATCCCTGGCATGGGTAAAATAGGACGTTGCACGCCACATCATTCCGCGTCGCTGAGGTGCGGTTACACACTGCAGTCACCAAAGCGCGCGATAAGTGCGCGTCTGGAAAGCAGTCCCGATCCCCATAAGCAGTGTCTGCTGCGTTCCCCGTCAAGGCCTTTTAGTACTGTCATCTTGTGAGAACGATAGAGACCGTTTCACAAGTTGTAATGTGCAGCGGCGGCGAACGGCGGCGACGCAAATGTGACGCGCGTGCGAAAAAACACCGAACCTCCCACTGGGATGCGGTGCTTTGCAACGTGCTGAGAGCGTGAACGAGACGCATCATACACACAACGCTAACGCGCCCCCCGAGCGCGTCCGGACGGGCGGCCATCCGTCCTCACCCTGCAGCAGTTTGCCGATGAAGCGGATCTGGTTGCCCTGCACCATGACCTGGCTGGTGCCGGGCGGCCGGTTGGGCGCCTCGCCGACGCTGGTACTGGCCGCCACGCCCACCTGGCAGCGGTGCGCGAACTCGGCCGGGTCGATCCCGAACGCGGGCAGGTTCAGCACCATGGTGATCTGACGCACGGGCCGACGGAGACGCACGTGAGGCGGACGGCGGTCAGCGCCGACGGGGGGGGGGGGGGGGGGGGCAGAGGGGACAGCTGCTCCCTTCCTCACGCTTTGAGATAAAATAGCACTGATCCTATAACACTGCGTGAAATGACGTAACTTGCAAGCTCGTTTTGAACTCTAACGAATTTCACACATCGTCCTCAGCAACGCTCGGCTGTCCTCTGACCCACAGACGCCGCGTTGACGAGCGCCTGGGCACGCTGGCAGGTTCAGCGCCGTAGGATTCGACAACAAGCAGCGAGACGCGCATCCAACTCGTGCGAGACAACACGGACGGGGTCAGCATGGCCGTGATCTGACAAAAACCGCGGGCGGATGTACAGGCAAGGGCCAGCCAAGCCCGGCAGATCTGGCACCGTCGCAATGTGATACTGTACTAGGTAAACGCATCGTCAACAAACGGCGTCTAACACAGCTGTGAACGCATCCAAGGATTACACATCGGCAACCTGTCTTACGCCATTATTTTGTGACATGCATGCTACATCACGGCTACAATAGGTGTAAAGCCAGGCCCACGCCAGCATTCGCCGCAGGGGCCGGAGCGCCGGCTGTGGCTGCGCGCCGGCCGGCAACACAGCTCGGCCCGGCCCGGCCCAGCACGCGTCCCACCTTCTTGTTGCCGGAGCGTGTGGCGGTGTTGAGCTCGACGCTGGGCACGGCGCCCTTCTTGACCAGCGGCGGCTCGCCGCGGAACAGCACCAGGTGGCCGGGAGACATGCGCTGCAGGCAGCGCTGGTGCAGCTCGTCCCAGCGCAGCGCCGCCAGGGCGCCGTCGGCTCGGCCCGTCAGGCTCGACGCCAGCACCGGGTCCAGCCGCACCTGGCTGCGGGCAGCGGCGGCACGCGTCCGTCAGCTGATGCCGGAGCACTGGTGCCGCAGCCGAGAACGCTTACAGCAAAGGGCTTTGGTCGCAGGAAAAGCAACAGTCGTATGTTGCATAGCTATGGTGTCACGTGACGAACATCAGCAAGGACCACATAATCCGCCCCGATTCCATCAGAGGACAGCTGGTTTTAATTTATCCCAGCGACACAGTGGCTGCGGACCCGCCAGCCA